GGATCATGACCTGAGCCGAAGGCAGTCGCTTAACCAACTGAGCCACCCAGGCACCCTGGAAGCACTTATTATTAAAGATATTCTAAAGAAAATAATAGGTAAAAATAATTAAATATTTAAAGTAGTTTCTTTGGATTTTAAACGAGGTCATTAAACTGAAAGATATTATATTCAATAAGGAAATCAGAAGTCAAATTTCTCTTACATAATATCATATGAACTCATTTAAAAATAATTTAGCTGCAATGTACAAAGCTTGTGCATATTAAAAATCCCTCTCTTAATAAAATGGCAAAATAATACATTTAATATCAAATGTCAAAAATTTGAATATTAATAAGATGCAGAATTTTATATCAATCAGTTGAATATGGCAATTAACCTGTTCTATGAATAAAGGAAAACTCCACTTGACAATTTTACTTTAAATGTATTTTTGTTTCACTGAACAAGCAATCACAGTGATTCATCATATTGTAGAGTATCTATGCTTACTTCTAAACTTTTACTTCCACATGCCACCCTACCTAATATGACTCCATCCCAACTTTGTAACTTTATTCTTTAGCACAATGGCTAGCAATTGAGAGATACCCAAAAGTCATCTCTGGAATTAACCAACTCTACCATAAAAATTTATCATTCATCAAGCTGATTTTCTCACTTTTCTTCTTCATCAACATTTTTAGTTCTGTACTTTTACTCAAACTATTCATCCTATCTAAAAAAAGTATACTCTTTGGTATCCTCTCTGCTAAAGGAAAACTCCAACCATCTTTAACAACAACATGATACTATAGAGAGAGCACAGGGTCCACAGTCAAAAAAATGTTCTTAAATATCTCTTCCAGTTACTAGCCTCATTGAGTCTGACCAATTCATTGAATGTTTCCCTGCTTCAATTCCTCTTGTTAACTCAGGGATAGCATTAACAGCTATCTCTTTTCACAGTCATGAAGGTAATATAAATGAACATGGTTTGGAATGTTCTGTGGTGACAAACTATGCAAATATCAGTTAATACTACTGAGTTCATTTACAAAGACCATTTTAGATGTTATGGTCTTTCCCTTACCTCTCTGATTGCCTTTAGGTCACAGCCATTTCCTCTGTATTCATGTGTTACATGCATTTGTTAGTTTCAGTTGATGCTAGCAATCAAGATATACACTGTTTTGTATTGCTTCATTTGTTTAAGTCTAGTACGCATGCCAATATACTTGAGACTGATAAATAATACAAAACAAGAAATGTCCATAAAGCAACATACCCATAAATTCTGTGGGCTGAGATCATGGTTTAAATTTGTTTTGAATCATTATTAATAAGAGACTTTCAGCTTATACTGGTTGCATTTATCTACTTCACACTTCTAGTTAAAAAATTGAAATATAATTGCTAGTAAAATAAACATAAATTCAAATAATCCACTAATCATCTCAGGAAACCAATGTAATTTTATAAAGTTACTAGCCAATTTCTATTTTAACAAGTCTTATTAGTTTTTCTTCCATATTTTATTTGAAATTTCAAGATATTCTGCAGTATAGTTTCCTTATCACTTTATATAATATCTTTACTGATAAATATTTAAAAATATGGTAAAATATTTTTACTAGCCTCAACAACTATATCTAATAAGTATTTCTCTTTAAACCAAAAGCTGCTCTCATTAGCAGATGATCTTATCAAATAATTGAAAAAAGGAAGCACTTTCTTGATGAGTGCCTTACTCATTTAGACAACAATTTTTTTTTTTTAAAGATTTTATTTATTTATTTGATAGAGAGAGACACAACGAGAGAGGGAACACAAGCAGGGGGAGTGGAAGAGGGAGAGCAGGCTTCCCGCGGAGCAGGGAGCCCGATGCGGGGCTCGATCCCAGGACCCTGGGATCATGACCTGAGCCGAAGGCAGACACTTAACGACTGAGCCACCCAGGCGCCCCTAGACAACAAATTTTTAAAGTTATTAATTTGTGATGAGCACTGGGTGTTGTATGGATGTGCTGAATCACTATATTGTATGCCTGAAACTAATACTACACTGTATGTTAACTAACTGGGATTTAAATAAAAACTTAAAAAATATAATTAAGTTGGTAATCTAAATATTCATCTGGAAAAAACTCTTCTACAACTCACTTTATAATTATATTGTTAGACAAATACCCTATAAAATGCCAGTCAATTGTACTGGAGCTTAGCAATATTGTTACCATTGTCTTCTTCTCCCCTTTATCAGAGTAAATCTAAATCAATTTCGATATTAGCAGAAGAGACTTCACTTCTGCCTGTTTTACATCTTTTATTCCTGAGACTCTTTTTTATATTTATCATGAAGCTGTCTTTGCCCCACACTAAAATCTCTTAAGAACAACTTTTTGGGGCACCTGCGTGGCTCGGTTGGTTAAGCATCCATCTGCCTTTGGCTCACATCATGATCCCAGGGTCCTGGGATTGAGCCCTGCATCGGGCTCCTTGCTCAGTGGGGAGTCTGCTTCTCCCTCTCCCTGCTGCTCCCCCTGCTTGTGTTCTCTCTCGCGCGCGCTATCTCTTTCTCTCTGTGTCAAATAAATAAAATAAAATAACAACTTTATTTAATAATTGGCATAAGAATGGCTACTGAGGAATATTAGGCATATCCTCACACCAAATTAGATCATTTGCTTTCTGCAGAATTCTGTCAATGGGGAAATAGAAAACTGAGAACAGAGCAAAGCAATTCAAACACTATGACAAAGTATGTTCATCTCCAGGATAAGCATGTTACTCTCTAATAGTCATCCTTTTTGAGGAATAAATAAGTTTTTAAAGGATTCTAAAAAGCAATAGAAGACATATGAATAAAAGTTACAGCTATAAAATCCGGGATATGAGAACTTAAGTTTTGTACCTATTTTCTTTAAATTTCTCCAAATAAATTTTAGGAAAAAAAAAAAGTGAATTGCAATACATATAAGCTTAGAGATTAGAAATAAAGAAAATAATTTAGGGAAAACATGGTTGTAACTTGGGAAATGCGTTCAAATCCTATTTGAAAGTGACTAATACAATGCTCAGCCTAAACTAAAGTGTTACTATAAAAATTTTAAATCTTGAATTATCTACTCCAACTATTCTTAGCACTGCTAAAGTCTAAGAATGTGAGATGTCTGGAGTAAAAACAATGTGAAGGATTAAATGCTTGAAAATAGGAACCTATTTTAAAAGGTTAGCAAAGTTATAAAATACAAAACATTAAGTGAGAGAGAAATGGCTACTGCCGAAGAAACTAAATATAACAGATTCTCGAGCCAGACAACTTGGGTTGGAACACTAGCTCGACAGACTTACTAGTTGTGTGACCCTGGACAAACTGCTTGACCACTCTGTAACTTACTTTCCTCATCTGTAAAACAAGGATAACAATAATATCGATCTCAGGAATTATTATAAGGATTCAACAATTCAATATGTGCAAATTTCTTAGAACAGAGACAGACACATAATACACACTGTGAGTTTTAGCTATTTTTTTTTTTTTTAATAAATCTGAATTGAGCAGTACTTATTCAATGTTCAGCTTCACTGACAAAAGTTTAACTTGCCAGGGATTTTGTTACAACTTCTACTACTGGGACCCTGACTCAAACCTTGAAGAATTATTTAACTCCAAGAACGCAGAAGCTTTCTATCCAGTCCCCACAATAAAGTTCCCAAACTAAAAAACAAATATAAAAGACTTACGAATGAACATATTGTAGTAATGGCATTATACAATGCCCAAACTCTAACAATAGCAAAATTAGGGTAGAAATTATCTCTATTTCACAGATAAGGAAACAGAAGGTAAAATAATTGGATAATTCGGCCAACATCATATTGCTAGTAAGTAATGTGCAGGCAGGACTATCTATGAATACCTGACTATCACTATATCCCCATATATCTAATATTACTCAGCACAGATCAGATGCTTGTAAATGACTGGTGGATACAAGGAAGGATGGAGGGCTGGCTGGCTGGCTGGCTGGCTGGCTTTATGGGAAGGTTCTATATAAATGCAACTTATTTTTATGTAGTAATATTTATGTTAGTCAGAGACCAAGACTACATGTTCGTAAACCCATGAAATATGAGTCACTATTGTAATATGCTTCAAGAAATAAAGGAATTTTTTCCAACTAACAATAACATCAACTCAATATCCATGCCAATGGAAAGAAGTAGGAGCTCCAAATATAAAAGTAACATACCCTCGTGCACTGTTGGTGGGAATGTAAATTGGTACAGCTACTGTGGAAAACAGTACGGAGGTTCCTCAAAAACTTAAAATAGAAATACCACATGATCCAATAATTCCACTACTGGGTATTTACCCAAAGAAAATGAAAACAGTAATTCAAAAAAATGTATGCACCCCTATGTTTATTGCAGCATTATTACAATAGCCAAGATATGGAAGCAAACTAAATGTCCACAATAGATGAATAAAGAAGATGTGATGTGTGTTCACACACACACACACACACACACACACACACAGGAATATTAAGCAGCCATAAAAAAGAATAAAATTTTGCCATTTGCAACAACATTTCACTTACATGTGGAATCTAACAAACAAAACAAATAAGCAGAAAGAGACCCATAAATACAGAAAACAAACTGATGGCTGCCAAAGGGGAGGAGGGTAAAGAGATGAGAAAAATAGATAAATGGGAGTGGGAGGTACAGGCTTCCAGTTATGGACTGAGGAAGTCACTGGAATGAAAGGCATGGCATAGGAAACACAGTCAGTGGTATTGTAGTAGCATTGTATGGTGACAGACAGTAGCTATACTTGTGGTGAGCACAGAGTTGTTAAATCACTAGTTGTATAACCAAAACTAATGTGACGTGTTAACTACACTTCAGTAAAATAAAAAAATAACATACTTGACTATTTGAATATACTGTTTGTGGATTACAATAACTGAAACAAAATAATGAAACCATGCTGATGCCTAATTCAGGCAAAGAAAGAAATTGATTCATCCTCCCCAAATTATCCCCCACTAGGATGATAAAAAGTACCAGCCTAAGCTGAGTTCTTTCATTTTTTTTGTAAGCCCAATTTTGGATTGATATTTTCCTTGTTTGCGGTAAAAGAGAACACAAAATACCTATATTTAAATTTTCCCTTTTATACTCGTAGCCCAAAAAGAAGTGTAAAGAAAAAGTATGAACTCTACCATCAAACCCCTATGTTGAATCTAAAAGCAAAACTTAGTGAATATAAACAAGTTCACTGTGATAAATCTCATTGTATTTACACTTATTAGAAAATTACCAGTAAAGAAGTTCTTCTGTGCAAAGATGAAGTGATAGGTGGCTTTATAAACCTCTAATTCACACTGCCAAGTCTGTGGCATGTTCCATATTCGGGGATAACTGGCAATGATGTGGAACTGCAAATGAAATGTTAAGTAAAAATGTTAGAGCTTAAAATGTGACATTGTGTGAAGAAATCAGAAATAAATTCACACACACACACTAGTAGAGTAATTAAAACTTATTTTCCCACTGAGCTGAACAGAAGGTCCCTTTGAGATTTTAATATTACTGTGGCTAAAGGTCAGTATCTATGGTTATATCCAGCTCCTTGAAATACTAAGCCATGAAAACTTTAAGAACAACAAAGCAGACTACAGTTTTGATACTGTACTCTAGCTAAACCAACAGAGTAACAACCAATGTCCTTAATTCCTCTTTAAACCTAATCTGTTAGGTAAGAGGCTCGGGGTTTGGCCACCAGTGCCTCCCAGGTTCCCTTTTGGCAAATACATGCTTTATCATATATTTAAGGTGCTTTATCATGTATTCCATCTGCCGAAGTTTAGAGATTCTGCTAAAGGCAAGAGCTGCCTGACCAGGAATAGCATTATGGTACAGCACCATTTATCAGCAATAGCTCAGGAATTCATTAAAATGCTGAATACGCCAGTTTAATATACATTTATAGTATTCAACATATTCTTGGTAATTACATATTTTTCCTCTTAATTTACATATATGTGTGTAAAAAATGCTGTTTTCAGACAATTAAGGCCTAATGATACCATCTTATAAAAGAATCCTTTCTGAATATCAGCCATTGTACATAGTGGCTTTTGTTATTATTGTTATTGTTGTCTTCCCTGATAAGGAATAATCTGCCTGATAATGAAATGAATCCCTAATCTGCAATTTTAATCATAAGCATTTCCATATTTTTTCTAATATGGAGTAATCTGCAGTATCAGTAAGATTTCCTTCTTTTAACCTCATTCATCAAGTAAAAACCAAAATGACTTATTAAGCCATGAGAAGGAATCCAATGGGGCCAGAAACATAGAGTGAAAAATTATCTCATTTATAACGTAGGAGTTAGTCTAGTCATAAAATAAAATTTAAAATTAATATTCTAACAACTTTTCACATTTTTAAAGACCAAAAACCATGCTAGCACTGCCTTATATTCACTTTGCCCATAACCAGAAGCAGAGCAAGAGAGATGCCAGAGTCCATAGCCCTGGGAATCTACTCCTCTTCACAAAAAATAAGGCCAAGAGCACCTGGTAGTTCTTGAATGAGAAGATTAACTATTTAATGACTTCCTGGTCATTAAAATTTTATATTAAAAAATTAAAACCAAATTCAGATTTTATGTATGTATACATATCATCATATACTCTAGACTTACTGCTAACATTTCTGCTTCTAAAAGGGTCCGGTATTGCATGCTGGTGGTGGCATCAACATGTAAGAGCTGTCCTTTAATTGCAGGAGTATAACCTAGTAAGTTGAAAACATAAAAATTAAGAACCTACAAAATATATGTGTGACTAAAAATTTTGTACTGGAAACAACTCCCATCACCACCCAAAGAAGGAATCTGTGAAAACTGGTGATCAGACACAATACAAATACATCCCAGTGATGGGGAGCTTGCTATCTAATAGGTGACCTTTCTCATTTTGGACAGCTCTAAAGGAATAAAGTTCCATCTTCATAGAATGTCCTCCTGATTTTGCTTTCCAGCGCGAAACTGTAAGTCTACCCTCTAACTGACAGTTTTCAACTATTAAAGATGGCTACTATGTCTCTTCTTCTCCCACTGACTCAAGGGAAGTTGTTTTCATCATTTTCAACTGTTCCTTATATAAAGATACTTTCTAAACAACGGCTATTCCTTATGTAATTAATGACAGTTAGCAAATAACATAGCTCCATTCTGAACAAAAGCAGAAAAGTACAGAGTATTTCACTTCTTTTCTTGAAGGGCTGCCCTTCTATGAACACTAATGCTATGGTCATTAGTATATGACTAGTTCAACATGTATCCTGCTCTGGGCATTTTTTTTCAAAGACCTGAATCTCTGAAAAAGTTTTACATGTGTTTGAGTTATATTTTGTTAATGTCTATGACTTAATCTATTTTTCCCCTCAGACAGTCATCTTAAAAGCCACCTAACCTTCCCAAGAACCTGACTGGGCTTTCCTTAGACCGGTAACTCACTCAGAGTTCCACAACCAGTGTGCTGTGGCACTGCCCATGAATTCATAATTAGTATGTTCCAGATATTGATTCCCTCAGCCCTCAGTGGCTCCCTTACCCCAGTGCACCAATAATTGTACAAAAGAAAGGTGTACAAATATTTCCTATGTGCAATATCAGTTTAAAAATGGTAGAACCACTCCCTTAATTGAATCATTCTCAATTTTACACAACCCCCAACTGCCTTTTTCCGCCTGCTTTGTATCTGTAAGTAAGGCTACCCTAAAAGATGTTCTTTCCGACTCACTACTCTGAACCACCCAGTCCTAGAGCATCTCAAGCATCTGCTTCAAGACTTAGTATGACCACTCTTTTACAACCAGCAAAGGTAAGGTTTAACTCTTCATCAAAAGAGCCTCAAAGTTACAGGGAAAAGATACACTATGCCATTCTCAGTCACTGTTTCAAACTGATTATTTAAGTAGGTAGACCCGACTGCTACCTTTTTATACAAGCTAATGAATATAGTCAACCCGCTACCTGCTTTCTTATACCAGCAACAAAAAAAGGTGACAAAAACAAGAGAGCCAAGAATGATATAAAAATTACTCTAATTATACTTAGCCATAGTAACATTGTTGGTTAGTGACTTAAAAATACAGGTACGTTGCTATTCTCTGTACTCTGAAGAAGTGAATAAATAAAGTAGAATTTCATTTTAATTGTTCTCAATTACAAATATAATAAGAGGATAGGAAGAAGGAAAATGAAAAAGGCTATATAATATTTTGATAAATTTAACAAAATGTATTTAATCACATTATTAACCTGTATCAGAGTTCAAATTTCAAACGCATAATGAATTTAGATTAGCTCAGGTGAAACTATAGCAGAGTATTATTTAATATTTTAAATATGAAATGTTCTGCTTTCTTAGTTATATTTTTCAAAGTACCAGGCTTACTCCCTGACAAAATCTATTAACACCATAACCTAAAACAAAGCCTATCAATCATACTATCACATACTGCCCATATACCATGTGCCAGGGTACTGGGTTCAGCACCAAGTTTACATCAGTTTAAAAAAAACACACAGCACCTGCTCTTACAGAGCAACAGACTAATAGGAAAAATACATTTTAAACAAATTATGCTCAGTCTTACAAAAAAGAAGTATAGGGTATAACGAAAGCATAAGACCTAACTTGATTTAAAAAATTTTCCCTTCTCTCCAGGTGCACAAAATATTTAATTATGTAATTAATATGTACTGTTAATATAACAGAAAGCTGAAAAAGAAAACCCCATTATGTTAGTCTAAATAGGTTTTTTTTTTTATTTTTCTTAAAGATTTTATTTATTTATTTGAGACAGAGAGAATGAGAGAGACAGAGAGCACATGAGAGGGGG